TCAGCTATCGAACAACGTTTTAAGATCCCTATTCTCATCTACTTTCAACTAGTTTCAAAAATGTGAAGCTTTATTTGAGTATATTTACAAAATGCATGTAGATTTGCGTGAACGGAGTTAGGGACTTTCGAAACGTTTTCTGTGCTTAAAAAAATCATGTTTTTAGGTACTTGACAGGTGGACCTAAACTCTCCACACTGACTCGTGGAGAGGTACGTCGGTAAATATGGAGTCAACATCCGTGGAAAACACTTTTGTAGGCTGTAGAAATATCTTCCAGGCTACCACTACAAAAAGAGTGGGATTGAACGTTCGTGAAGGTAGCCCACGGCATCAACAAACCAATGCGCAACTTTACGTTGGCAGAATTTTTCATACACAGTTTGGGCTGTAGCGTGTTTGTGGAACCTCGCAAATATGAAATTGCTCCATCATTTGGCTTCTTGGATATATACTCTGAGATGAGTCTGTATAGGTGCATGAAGTCTCTCCACAATTCGCTGAGGTAAGTATTATCAGAAAAAGGAGCGAGTTTGAAATTTCGGCTGTCTGATAGAATGCATCTCTTCGTAATTAGAACTATTCTTCCATTCAAACTACTCACTCAAACTTTTCTGTCAGACCTTAGGATTACCAAGTACTGTTCAACTTAGTTCATTAATTAGTCGGTGTAGTGATCCGCGTTCAGCCAGTGCTGTTGCATTCTCGGCGAACACAAGATATAATGGGAAACATCAACCAGTCTGGCCACAAGACCAGTTTGCATCCACATAATGTGCGATCACTCGGCTAATCCAAACTTATCCGTCTGACTTCAGATCTTGTGTTTTCTGACCAGTGCTGTGAGCTGGTGGTGTAGATGGGCTGAGTGCTCATCGAATATATGTCAAATATGGTCGTCAATTTCCGGACTCTTGACAGACACATTTCCGCTTCGTTCAGATGCCTCCGAGAAGGATGTCTTTCGAGAAATTGATGAGTGCCGTACATGCTGAAAAAAGCCTGCATGACGTAAGCTATCTGCAAGGTTGTGTAGACTAATGTGAATCAAGGGGCGTCATCAACTTCTGGCGTCACCTACGTTCACACCGCTCACGAAGCTCACATCACTGAGTAATACGAAGTCACAACCGTTTCTTGTTAATCGATGTGATTCATGATGGTCTGTTATCTCAGTAGGAAATTTACGCGATTTCAGTGACTACTGACGGAATATTGTGCAAATTTGCAGACGGCAAGAATGATTCTCATGTACTAAAGTGCATTTTGTGAGGTAACGGCCACTTTGTTTCACAGAGCCTGAGAAATGTTTGAAGTGAAACTGACTCCTAAATCCCCTTCCAATGATTTTCCTATCAACTCAGAGCGTTTGCTTGGTTGGACCACATAAGATTTATTAGTGTGTCTGACGTCAGACTTGTCCAATGTCGGGCTTCATAAGAACGTCATATTTGATCTCCCCAACTTTGTCCGAAAAGCTGGTGATAAACCTGTTGCGGGGGTATCAGCGGTTTATTTGGGGTTGACGGCCTTTTACAAAAGCAAGACAGTTTACATAACTGCAAGTGACATCGGCTAATGAATAAATCAAGTAACTAACTCATTTGAATAGTGCCAAACGTAAATTCCTCTGGAATGAACACACTATGCTTCAAGATTTCAAGAAACAACGACGTTTTCTAGTAGTAACTAGTTTCAGGTTCAATCTCAAGGTGAGCGTTCAAACAAACAGCCCTAATATCATTGTCCGGACTACCTGAGACCATTGAAGATGGACGACAGGGCGAAACTCCGCTTCACTCAGGCAGTCTCAAACTCACCAGCAAAGACTTAAATAATGCCTGAAAATGTAAATACTGACTGATTTATACCTAGGGCTTGGATGACACAGACACGAAAAGGCATGTTATACTAGTGACAGGTCACGGGAAAATATTCGGTACGTAGATATCACGCTCAAAATCCAGTGGTTAAAGTCCTATGTCCTCAGAATATTCGCGCCATGTGCACACTGCAGTTCACTTTCAAGGGTCGTCGGACGTGGATATCAATTTCCACAGTGCCTCTAAAGTACTCCGTCAAATCCATCTGGAATGCCTTCACGTCAAATTTTAAAAAGCTACAAAGACGCCGGAGTTGAACTGGCCCATAGTAACCTCACACCTGACGGAGACTACAATCGAGAAAGCAACTTTAATTGCTATTCTGTTCACTACATCCGACCTATGTCCATGTGTGAAAATATTTTCAGGCCTCAGTTTTCATGCTTCATCACTTCGCGTTATGAGCGATTGCGAAATTTATGGAAAAAGGAATAACCACGATATTCAAAGTTCTGTGTCTGCTGTCTTTTATAGGGCCGAGATCTCTAACTGGTTCCTCAACTGTCAGTAGTCCAGTCTTGATTCCAGCTGACCTCTAAGAATTCATCCAGAAATATCCAAGAGCACCTTCAACCAAAAAAGGTCAAATTTCTCAAGTGGTCCGAAAGACTCTGAAAATATTGGTCCATATACCTAATACTGTTAAATACTTAGTTTGGCTTCTCGCATGGTTCTGATCCAAACTGTTAATAACACAAATTGTTGATAGTTTCCTCGAAATTTTCGATATCTTTTATACTGGTGTTTTTCTTCCACACGTCTTTGCGACTGTTCAGATAGACACGAACGCTTTCACGCACCTATACTGTCGTAGGGGCAAACACTTCATTTCATCGAGCCGTTTAACAGTACGAGCTGATAAAACTAGGCGTATCACCCCATAAGTCAGATAGTCCCGAAAATTCCACTTCCCTCCGAAGTCTAATAAATAACCTCCGCACATTTCGGAGTTTATGAACTTGCTGACATTTTGTCCTGCTGACGAGTCTCAATGTGTGGCACGTTTGTGCGGTACAAACTACACCTTGCAACCATGTGACCAAATAGAAATTTCAGTACTTCACAGATTGATCAAACCTTACTGAATACGAATATTGATACCCCGTATGTGAGTATCTCAAGACTGATTTTTTTCCATGTTTGTGCGCTTTTATTTTAACGAAAACTGGTATTTTAATTTTGCAGCAACCAGGAGTATCATTGAGCAAAATGTCCCAGAGTTAGTGTATTACACAGCTTGTTCGAAAGTAAACATAAGTTTAGGTGTTTCAAAAGCTGAACTCTATAGGAACTCCGTGTCAACTAAAAGTCATTTTTCAACATTAATATTTGAATGCGCAACAACAGTCTCGAATCTATGAATCGGCTCGGTTAATCAAGCCGAATCAATGTAAGGCTGAAGTGAATCGATCATAAGGCAAGACGCTTCAATAGTGAACTTTAGGAAGTCTGTGAATCCATAGTTAACTCTACCTTCCGAAGATAATCTTCCTCTGTACGAACCACCGTTTTGATTTCTTTCATATCATTGAGTGCATAAGTACCGATTTCAATCAATAACAATTTTAATAAATGGAGAAACTCGGTGAAACTTCTCAAGAAAGTACACTTTCAACTTGGAGTCACCACCACTGTTTACCTGAAACAACCAGTTGTTGTAGAATTTTCACCTGAAACCGAATAGGGGACACTCGTTCGCCCCATTGAGTTAGGTTTCTTTCAAAGCAAGCAACATTTCAACTTCTTAGGATAGAACACTACACGTCAGTGATTTACAGTATGCTACTGAACTGGGTCTGCTACGAACAAAAACGTCGGCAAGGGGATGTATTGTGAAGTAGTTTTTATCATTTTACTTGTTAATAACATGAACAAAGAAAACGGCAAAGCAGTTTACATCTTATGCAGTGTGAGAGGCGAGTCATAAAACATGGAGTTGGAATGTATCTAAGTGAACTCTTTGGCATTTGCCGCTTCGGTGATCACACACGGTAGACCATTACTGTTTGAGTTTATGCCTTCATGACTCAGTTCAATAATGTTCTGCCCAGGTGAAGGGTCTTCGCTTGATATCAGAGCATATGCACTCATAGTGGTTAGCATTGCCTATAAAAGGCAAGTTGCTTGCAGTCCGAGTTCATTCAGCTAGTGAACAAGACTAAAGTTCGACTTTTGTTGAATACAGCCTAATAGACCCAAAGTTGGAAATGGAGTCCTAGGAATAATCCTAGGAACCCGACGCAAGCAGCCTATAAAAAATGCCACGTTATAAAATTTAAGGTAAGCTGGGGGGCTCATCCAAACTGGGAGATTTCCCGAGTCAAAGTAATCCCTCCCTGAATGCAATAAGGTTCTTTACCAAAGAACGCAAGCAGGGAGATTTCAACTATCACGGAATGGGAGTCATCATCAGCGTTGAGAGCGATACCAGAGGAGAACACCGATGCTTCACTAATTCACGTCAGTTTATCTCAATAAAGCCTCACAGTTGGAAGAAAAAGGAAACAGGACAAGTGAGTGGACCTAGGGCCAATGTAAAACAGACATTCGAGGTACCTACACCTCAGACAGTCAGTCAGACAATCTGGATAGAAACTGATAGTATGAACCCCACTGATATCGGTTAGCCGCCATATTTAAAGTGCCTGTTCTTCGGAGGGTTTTGTGAACCTGTATCGAAATACTCAATGCAATCAGTGTATTTGTTCAATATCTACCAACTTTGACTATGTGCAAACACAGAAGAAATGAACTCTTGATTTTTCAACTGATCATATGGAGAATATTAGTTTTCTTAAAAACGTGTGGACGACATCCAGACGCGTGCTTTTGTTATGTGTTCATTGGGATTGAAGTTTTACTTCGTAAGCCAGAAATCATTGGGGTTTCACCGCAATTACCGTCTCCGCTTTTCAGGCCGCCCAACTGTACATACTCATTTGAGGTCACACCACAAATATACTCTTGTGATGAACATGACTGATACTTTATTCGTTGTTCTATTCATTATTCTCTTGTTTTAATATTCCAGACGCTGTATATATACGCCAATACGTACGTGCTGGTTGTTACGTTATTCGTTGTTCTATTCATTATTCTCTTGTTTTAATATTCCAGACGCTGTATATATACGCCAATACGTACGTGCTGGTTATTACGGCTTCGCTGAATTCTGGATTTCTAGTTCGTCTGGTTACACCGATATACGTACGAAACTCAATTCTCACATTTTGGCGTTGCGATTGGAACAATTCACCACGCCTGCCGAAAGGAAACCATTAGGTTGTAAGGTACTACTCATAAGGTTGCTGAAAATCAATCGACAGCCCACGACCGGTTTCGCACTTCTTGGGGCTCATCAGGTAGGCGCAGTCCCCGGGTTTCCGTCAACCTGATGTTCTACTTGAAACCATTAGGTGTTAATTTCACTGCGCGAGATATAGAGGATTATTTGGAACGGTTCGACATATGGTGTCTCACAAAATCTGATACGGATGATAAGAAACTCACGGTATATTTCCTACATTTCGTTCGCAAGGAGGCGTATACGTTGATCAAGAATTTAGTACATCCTGAATATCCAACCGGTATTTCCTACACTGCATTGAGGAAAAAAGTCCTTCAACACTTCAAACCTACTAATTTCGTAGCAGCCGAAAGAGCTAGGTTCAATGTGTCGACCCGCTCCCATCCTCAGTCGGTTCGTAATTTCGTATTGCAGCTGCAGACACAGGCAGCCAAATGTGACTACGGTGCCCAACTGGAAGACCAGCAGCGTGATAGACTCATTGCTGGCCTTCAGCTGCCCGAATTACAGCAGAGGCTGCTACTCTGTCCGGATCAGAAATTTCAAAATATTCGGAAAATATGTGAGCAGTATGAAGATGTGAAGCATGTAACGAAGTCTGAGGAGGCGGTGGTGTTGAGGTATTCTAAAAGAAATAATTCAAGGATGCAGACGAACAACAAATCCAAACCTCCAACAAATTCTCGTGCCCCAAATCCATTAACACATCACTTCACAGATCCTGACCCTAATCCGATGGCTCGAAAATTTGGGAAATGCGAGTCTTGTGGACGAAACCATTCCAGATATTCATGCCCCCACAGACGAGCGAAGTGTTTTATCTGCGGTAAAACGGGACACATTCAACTTGTCTGTAAGTCCAAAAAAGTGTGTCACTTGACTTTTGACCCAAATACTGACGTGAAGGCATTATCTGAAGATATTTCTACTCTTTCTCTGTCTGTTTTGTCCCAAAATTCGTCACGTTTTTAAAACTTTGATATCTGCTGCTGGTCAAAAGCATGACTTCATTGTTGACACTGGTAGTGTTGAGTCATTATTCCACAATCAGATCTAACTGCATTCTACCCCAGTGCCGTGATAGTGCCTACAGATGTTGACATTCGCGGTATCACTGGACATTCTGTACCTCTAGTTGGTAGTTGCACGATACCTGTGAGGTTACCCCAAGGTACCTCTATCGATTGTATTTTTTTGGTTTCAACGTCGGGACCGTCGATTATTGGATTCAAAGTTATGCGCTCACTGCAAACAGTATCACCTTACTGACTTCTGTGAATGAGAATGAACTCAAACAACTGATTCTGAAATGTTCTAATGCTACAGGTGGCATGCAAATACCCAGGAGACTAATTATTCCATTTGGCTTACGCGAGCCTGCTCTTCAAGCGTTTCAACGAGTTCATGCTGACTACTGTGGTCGTTTTCTCGGTAAATGCTATGCATTAATTCTTATTGACCTATATTCACGTTGGCCTCAAGTTTTTCTAACTAAGTCTCCAAGTGCCGAATTCACTCAGCAATCATTGAGGAAAGTGTTCAGTCTTGAATGTGTACCAACTGTTTCGGTCACTGACAACGGCACACACTTCACTGCAAAATTCCTCGAGGAATGGTTGAAAGGTCTTGGTTATCGAGATCTGTTTACTGTTCCGCGACGTCTCCAGTCGAAAGGAATTGCTGAGAATTTTGTCCGAACACTGAAGTCCGCCATTATTTCACTTTCTCCTACTACTTTTGTGGAGTTGGACCGTGGGACTGATAATTTTCTAATGCAATACAGGAACGCCGTTCATTCCGTTACTGGAAAGAGTCCCTCGCTTCTATTAAAATCTCGTTCGTTGCGTACAAGTCGTGACTGTGTCAAAGCGACTGATGTTACATTTTTCAGGGGTAATGATTTACCACCTGCTACAGGAATAGTACTTTCATCAACTGGCAAACGAATGGTCACAATTCTCGATTTGGATGATCTCTGTTATCATCGGAGACACATTGACCAGGTTGAGTTCAATACCAAAGGTCAGTCTGTTAACGGCAATCCTGCTGTTTCAAATACTAATGAGTCCTTCGTAGATGACCTTATGGTATCCGAACACAACGTATTTGAAGAACACAGTCTGTGAAGAGTCTGAAGTTTCCATTCCGAGAAGATCCGAAGGTTTGAGATCAAGACCACCACTGCACTATAAACATCCACACGCTCATTCAAGGTGTGGCGGATGTGATGAACATGACTGATACTATATTCGTTGCTCTATTCATTATTCTCTTGTTTTAATATGCCATGTGCTGTACGTATTCGCCAATTCGAATACATACGTGCT